TTTGGCTTCCTGTCAAGCACCTTAAGAGCCTGGTGGTATACTGACTGTATGGGTCTAAGTGTTGTACACGCAGCGTGTGCCCAGCTGTCAAACAATATGACAGATGTGACATGATTATGGCATCGAAATACTGTGCTGCTGCTTTAGTAGTTAGACAGTTTCTGATATGGTGGAAATTTGAGAAGTTGAACTTTATCACATTTGCTATCATCTTAATTTGTTTTTTCGATTTGAGATTAAAATCAGGTGTTACACCCAGGGCACCTGGTGGTTTAGTGGATGGGGGCAGAGCAGGGGCCCCATTGCCAAGGCAGTGTCCCTGCTGCAGCATCCATGCGTTCAGTTCATGGGTTCCTGTCCCCCCTTCAAACCCAGACTGTCCTATCTAATAAAGACCTGCTCAGCTGCTGCTTGGATTTTGACAGTTGTCTATTACTGTACAGGTGCTCAGAGTGGCCAAAAAGCACCAAGAAAGATCTGTATTTCAGCAATGCTTTTTATAATGTGCATTACAATGTTGTTTTTGCGCGTTATATAAAATCCAATTATAATAAAATTTGAAGTTAATCTACTGTACTGTGCTCCAAAGTTAAATTATCATCGAATAGCTTAATTATCTTTGAAGTGCCTTTATACCTTTCCTTCATATGTTCACTGAAAGGATGACCTTGACTATAACCATACAAAGGTTCATATAGTTTTACAGAACACTTTTATGAAGGTCAAATATTAAAGTCATATTAGAAATTTAATATAAAAAAAATCCACAATAGGCTATAATTTTAAAGGATTCCTGTTCACAATGACCCAACTATGAAAAGTCAGCACTGATGTTAAATTCATGATTTCCCCCTATTCATTTATCATAATCCACCTCCAATTTCATCAGACTGTGAATGTTTATGTTGTTGTCTTAATAGTACGATGATAAGGTTATGTTGTAAATGGGGATGGCATTTTAAAATGATGTTTCATGTGCCCCTTTTTAACTTTGAGCACCTGGCCCTTTGAAGATCTCTGCACAGGCCCATGTGACAGTATCTGTTGACGTCTTTTGAAAACTGAACCTTTGATTAAGCTAAACTAAACAAGAAGACTGGTATGCTTATTGCCTGCACTTTGTTGGGGACCCTCATAAGGAGTAGGTGCTGTAAAGATTTGTAACACACTGCACAGATTAAATTTGAAATATCTAAGTAAATGCAATTATTAGTGAGTGAAGATGAAGCCAGACCTCTGGGGAAGATTGTAACTGAATTTATTTTCATCCACTTTTTTCCATTTGTTTACATCTGAGATGGTTGCATCAAGTTTATTTTCACAATTAGTTTTATTATATCAAACATATCAATATGAGAGGAAACACACAGGAAGCAGATTGAAGATATGCAAATGCTCTTTTCTTGGTTACTGTAGCTCATAGATCAGCATGGAGGGGATGAACTGAGCATGGCTTAACAAGCATGAACATAATACTGTATGATAAAGAAATGTACTTCCAAGTAATATCTGAGCATCTCGTGATCACAGCAGGAAGGCTTTTCTGACTGTGCACTGTGAACAGATCTCACGTGTCAAAGTCTCCTAAGCCTTTGGATCCTCTGTTTTCCCCTCAGTTTATGCGGTGGAACGTTGTGCACAAAGCTCCTTGGAAGGATCCATCACCAAAGGTTTAGGCATCTTCAGACACTCCGCCTGAGCTTTGAACTCGTCCAACTCCTTGTCATCCACCTCCCTCCTTTTGCTGAACAGGCACAATTCCTCTGACCTATAATTTGGTCCCTCAAAAGCCAAGCTCAGTATCACACAGTCTTGACAGGTCGTTTTGATGATGGTCCCATTGAAGCGAAAATACTCAGTCTTAAAAGAAAAGGTAGGGCCCTCTATTGAGACGTTACGGGAATCATAGTGGCACACATCACCGTAACGATTGGCTTGAGTGTACGTTGAGTTGTGGAAGTCAATAGTTATGCTGTCAATTGGTCTAAAAGGCTGTGGAGCTTCAATGATTTTCAGACTGTCCGCAACCAAAACCCATCTGCCCTCCAAGCGTTGAAGATCAACATGACCCCAAGGTTCAACCACGTCTTTACAGTCCAGAGGAGCTGAATGGCTCACAGACGTCAAGCAGAGGAGAGCGATGGCGCACACAGCAAACATGACTCTGTATGTTGAAATCAAATGCCTGTGGATCTGGACTCACTGGCAATGCAGCTTCTGTCTGAAAGTGGAGCCGGTATAGTCTCTTGTTGGCCTTTATAGCTGACCCAAAAATCCAGTTTCACAATCCTGAGAGCAGACCTTTGCTCTCTTTGATAAGTCAAATAAAAATAATCTGAAGACTGTGATTCCTTATTATTTACCTTTTTCTAACTCGTCTTACATGTAATATTGTAATGAGATTACTCCAAGACAGATAATGTACATAGCAGGCAATAAAACTTATCTTATTGGCTTACATTGAGAACTACAACTTTACTACATACACTCTGTTTGTTGAAATCACCAGGGCTATCAATCAATTTATTTTCAAATCAAAATTAATCGCAGAATTTCAAGTTAATTGTGATTAATCATACTTTTAATTGCGTGTTTAAAATTCCATTATTTTGCATTTCAAAACATTTTGTAGTTCATATTAAAAAGGTGACGCAGTTCTTACCAGAGTGTTTTGTTTGGGAATCAAATGAATGCAATGAAAATTTTACTTTATGATATTCACTTTTACTTTAGTGTGGCCAAAGAGACAAAATAGCAGCAGGCAATTAACCCTCTAAGAGTCACATATGTAGACTCATTTTTGTCTTTTTTGGGGGGGACAGGAGATCTTTTAAGGAAGATAGCAGGTCAGCCGTATATGCTACATAGAAGTGGTATATATCACCTGCAAGATGGAAACCAGAAGATTCATTTGAGATGTAGCTCAGCACAGTGTGCCAAGTTTTTCTAGTCATAAATCTGTAATAGGTATAAACATTGCATGCAAAAAAAGTACATAGTTTGTGCCCAAAACTGTATGGGACTAACATAAAGAGGACATGTCTGTAAAGGGGAGACTTGTGAGTACCCACAGAAACAGTTTTCACTCAGATATCTTAATAGCTTCCTGAAAACCTTCTTCGGTCTTCTAGTTTCATATGATACCAGTATCATCACTAGACTAGAAATAAAACCCAGTCATTTATAGCCTTTAAAAGATAGGTAGTGGTGAAAATCACAGCGTGCAATTAACCCAATTTTTTTTTTTTTTTTTTAAAAGCTTTCTGTTTGCACCTTAATCACATTGCGATAAGTTTCACAGTGAAAATCGTATCAGAAAGTTCCACTTACTCAACACCTGACACTGTTTTTGCAATGTTTGTTTACTGGCATCCCCATTAGTTGTCCTTTGCTGTTTCAACAGTGGAGGACAGTTTCTGGGAATGTTCAGTTTGTAGTGGAATGATTCAGCGATTCTGGGATCTGATTCTCCAGCCTTCACCAACTCAACAGCCCAAACACTCGTATTATCTTTGCAACAGTACACACAATCTGCCCCCTTGGATTCATGCTTAAAATTAAGACACAAATTGCTTGTACGAATGTGTCATCTGTGAATGCAGACCGCAAATCTGGTTTTTGTGTTCTCATAGTTTGTTAGAAATTGTATTATGAAGAACTCGGGAAAAAAAGTACTTTTACTGCACTCAAGGAAAGTATTGGTGATTTCAAAAGTCTGCTCAATAGAAGAAAATGTAATATATTTCTTGTTAATTTTTTAACGGTCCAGTGTGTAGGATTTAGAGGGATATACAAAGAAGATTTATTACAGTAGCCAAGAACGGACAAACTAAGCACTGGCTATAGTCAGGGCCATTCAAGTTTTTCCCAACAGCCCCTATAGTTAGCAGCCACTCCACTATGAGCAGCATTAGAGACATAAGTTTCAGCTGGTTGCACACTTCAATCCTCACCACTAGATGCCACTAAATCCCCCTATATCTCACACTCTCTCTCTCTCTCTCTCTCTCTTTTTTTTTAAAAAAAGATATTTTTTGGGGCATTTTTGCCTGTAATGCACAGGACAGGTAGGTATGAAGGGGGGAGAGAGAGGGGGGATGACCATAGACTGACATGCAGCAAAGGGCCACGAACTGGATTTGAACCCGGGCCGCTGTAGCAACAGCCTTGTACATGGGGCGCCTGCTCTACCACTAAGCCACCGACACCCCAATCTCACACACTCTCTTTGCATGCCAATACCCATACTACCATACTGTTTAGTAAGCTAGAAAAATGAGAAATGAGTATGTCCTGATTGTATGCATACTGCATGCAACAGTACATACTTTATGAGGGCAGCTGTAAAAGAAAAAGTTTGCAATTTGGAACGCACCCTGGATCTTTATTATATCAAAAGGTACTGGCTCCTCATATGGTGGTTCTCTGAAACCCCATGGCTGTTGGAGAGGATCAACTGGGAGCTCTCTGCTCAGCAGGACTTGTTTTCACAGTTATAGGGCACATTGCCGCATCCCTTTCCCCCCGGGACTCCGACTTTGGTTTGGTCCTTAAGATGGCTGTGCCGTTAGCCATGGAGCTACCACAGGGGCAGGTAGAGACACTGCTGGGACTCCAGGCAGCTTTGATAAGCTCCATGGACTTGCATAAGGGGAGGATTTTGAGACTTGTTGCAGGAAACACAAGGTACATCGTCTCATGAGTTCAGTCCCTGTAATCCTGCTCTTTCTGCAGCATGTCTTGTAGATAGATCTGGATAGTTCTCTTCTCATACCAGTTGCTTCCAACTCCTATTTTATCAAGTGTGTTATAAGAGTATGTGACAGACAGCTGTCCTAAACCAGTTGTCGCTGGTTTAGGAATAAGAAATACATAACATTATGAAACAACTGGTTAAATATTATCTAGTGCGTTTGTTTTTGCATGACACAATGATGTCGTCTTCGGGAAAATCTACAATTTCAGATATAGAGATTCTGGATGGACACCAAGTACATTAATCAATGTATCACAAATGTCAGTTTAATCATTTAACCATTCATCAATCATTTCAAAGCTGACATCTCAGACACTCTCAATTCAACATCTGTCTGTGTTCAGTTTATACATCCATGCACAGATCTATGTCAGGAGCTCTGGAGCCCCTCTTTCAAAAAGCACATCTGGTAAAAATACAAAGTTCATACTTTCAGGTATTTTAAAATAATTTCTCTTTTAAACTGACAATGGCCCACAAAATATTCAGCGGAACACGCTGTTGTTTATAAATTAGACCGTTTCATACTATTAGTCTCGGTACTGTCAAAACCTGTATTATACAGTGAATAAAAATGTTCAGGTTCTATACATAGATTAAAAGAATCTCTAATAAAAGACCAAAATCAATGAAATAAATCAGCTTTAAAGTATTTAAATTAGAAGAATGCCCTCTCTGAACCTCTCTAGATCTTTGGACGTTGGATGTTATATGTAGATTAAGAAAATTACCCAATGAATTATACATGTAGATACAACACTTTACAATAATACATCTTCAGTCTGTTTTGTTGCTTAACTAACTCTAATTGGTGGGTTTATTATCTTATGCAGATTGGCTGGCTCATCTGCTAACCAGGAAAATTAAATCAAATTCAAACAGTTAAAAAAAAACACACACACACACCTCCTGTTTTGGTCCACATTGTATGAGAAGAGAATTTAAAAGTTTAGTTCTGCATAGAGAGCTCTTCAAGGCACTTAAACACTGTCAAGTTCAGTCCATACCTCCCCCCGTCTTCATGTTGGAGAGAGCTCACTTCCTCTCAGAGTATTAAAACTCAAGAGTGGAATGAGGAAGTTTCAAGATGAATACAAGGAATGAGAGCAGAGAGTCAGGGAGGAAAGGGAAGTAGCTTGAGGACTGATCTGAAAAACGATGGGTGCATAAAACAAAGAGACGAGGGAAGGAGTGTGTTATGAATTGAAAAGCAGAGAGACAGACTGAAGAGGGAGAGAGGAAAGGAATGTACAGAGAGGGCAATTACATGACAGAGCAGCACTGGCAGGTTTTGTGTTTGGGTGCCTCAGTCTCCTTTCCCTGGTTAGCCCTGGTTGAGCTGTGTGTCTCTGTGCTGGCTGCTGCTGCTGCTGCTGCTGGTTCTGCTTGGGTGTCGGGGGCTTTGGCCTGCGACAGAAGGGGTTCCTGCTCCCCCAGCCTTGCCTCTGTCCTCTGGTTCTCCTGGGGTTCGGCCAGGGGCACCTCCTGGAACTGGCCAGGCAGAATGGCAGGCTCTTGGGCTTTTAATGCTGCTTCAGCTCCCTCTGCTGCAGTTTCACCCTCAGCCTCTAGCTCAGGGTTGAGACTGGAGGGTTGTGCCTCAGAGTAGACTGGCACTGAAGCCACTGTAGTGCCCTCTAGAGCACTGGCTGGGGACTGCACCTGCAAAGAGGTTGGGTCTTCAGATTCTTTATCCTGTCCTTCAGCTTCTGTTTCTCCATCTCCGTTTATCTTGACGCCACCCTGCATGTCTTCATCTCCAGTTTCTGGTTGCGCCTCTGCAGTGGGTTCAGTAGCCTCAATCTCTTCTTCTGGCTGTGTGAAGGTTTCTGGAGCTGCTTCTGCTTTTACTACCCCCTCCACAGCCTCCAGAACCTCCACTCCCTCTTGGCCTGCTTCTGGAATCAGCAGAGGGGTTTCCTCCAGCTGCGCTGTCTCCTGCTCATTTTCCTGGGGTGTAAGATCCTCAGGTACATCATCCCCTTCATCTGTGATAATCACTCGTTCTGCTCTCATCACCAGAGTCCCTTCCTCTTCCTCCTCCTCCTCCTTATTAATGTTGACATATGGAACCTGACCAGGCTCTGCCTCAGAAACACCCAGGCACGACCCAGTCTCCAGTTTCATGTTAATAACATCTTCAGAGGCTACAACTGCTCCATTGGTGGTGGGCTGAGTGTCGTGATCGGTGTCCACTTCAATGTCTCCACCGCCATTGGTTAGAACAGCTATGGTTTCTTCCAGTAGTGCGCTTTGGCTAGTCTTCACTTCATCTTCAGCTGTTCCTGATGAAAACAGCAAAAAAATATCACTGTGAGCAAAAGAAGAGATATCTGTACAATTGCATGAATTAGAAAAGTTGGCACTGAATTTAAATGATGTTGAATAAATTTGTAATCAATATGCCACACTGTCTTTAGCACTGATTTAGCTTTCATTATAGGTAGTGTAAATGTGAGACTTGATTGACATTAGAGGTTGCTTTTGCAGTTGCTCTGTCAGTGCTCAAAACAGGTGGCTTTATGTATTGTAATGCAGCTAACAAAAGGCTGTACCATCAATGAATCTTAATGCATTTCATTCAGAAGCTAATAAAGGGTAGCACTGTTACAGCTACCTGCTATAAAGTGTATACTAATAAATGAGGGCTTCAATTTGTTACAATCACTGTAAGTGGATATTATACAGAAAAGAAAGAAATGTTAAGTATTTTAAGCATTTTAATGAATGCTTTACCTACAAAATGACTATTTGTAAATCAATTAATCAATCATGCCATGTTACCTTGAATTTGTGAAGAAAACTTTGTTTTTCTGATATTCCTCCATGGATGTATTGATTGATTAGGGAACACATTTATGGACAACAACACCATATCAAAAACATCCATTTACAAATGCATGCATTTTTGCCAAAAAAAAAAACAAACAAAAAAAACAAAAAAACAAAACAAAACAAAAAAAAAAACCTTTGTGTTGTACATGTGTTTGAGAAGTACTGAGCATATGACTGGATAAATCAGACTTGGATTATACTGCACGAGTTGTGAGAGTTTGTTAACGGATGTTTTGATGTGGTTTTCCTTTCATTAAACACGGTCCCAAATCAAATAATTAATCAATATTTTGCCATTTTCCGTGGCGGCATGTGAGTAAAACAAACTTTTGTGCACAAATTAAAGGTAACACACCATGACTATCTGACATACAAATGGTTGTTTTGTGGTTGAAGTATTCCTTTAGGGCTATGTCATGAGATATGAGAGACAGTATTTGATGAAAATGTTAGAAACAAGACGAAAGTGAGCAGGAGATAAACTGGCAACAGAATAAAGAACATACATTACATGCAAATATAGATTCTGCAGTATGAAGTTATAGACCCTGAATGATTTAATACAAATGGATGGGTCAATTTCCTTTTCAAAACTCTTTTGTCCCCTTAAGCAGCTTCAGTAGCTGTCCATGTCCCTGCTGCCCTCTAAAAATGCAAGTTAGGCATCTGAGTAGTATCTATTAGCATACATATATATGCAAGCCTTTTTCAACATGTGTAAATATTCATTGCAGCATGCATGAACTTTTTTGTGGAGTACAGGTATGTCCGTGCCACTTCTTCCTTTATAATGCAAATTTCTTAAGATGAGTACACACAATGCATACAGACAGGTATTTCTATAGGGGATTTCATAGTCTATAAGGGGTTGGGGTAGGATGGAGATTTCAGAAGAATAAACAAGAGGAAGAATGGAAAGGAAATTAGATGTTTTCAGGTTAAAAGTGAACAGAGCGATGTTGACATCAAAAAGAATATAGATGTGATTTAATGTGTGCAGGATTTGTTTCTGGATAATTGGGGTTTGCAATCTGTGCATGAGCTTTATGAGAATTATTGTGGTGTATGTATGTGTGCATTTTATGACACGTGAGTCGACTCTGTACCCACCCAATCCTAGTGTGTTTTTTTCTCCATTCTGCACAACAGCATCTAGGGCCATTTCTGAGGAAGAAAAAAAATGTATTCATTGCATGTAGCAGTGATTTTTTAGTTAGATGTGCAGTATAAAAATTATTAATCCCTATGGATTTAGTGCACCATGGGGTACTGATTTCTTAGAAAATTACACCATTTTACTGAAACTTTAAATCAAAATATTCAAAGATGAAACTGTTGCTGTACTACCAGGCCCACACTGAGGACAGAATTAAGCTAATCAACACACCTTTGCTTTTCTTGAATAACTTATCTTGTTATAACATCAACACACAGGTGCAACATTAGAAGATGGCAACAACCTAACTAAAAATGTGCTTTTTTTCATAATATAGTATCCAAGTTCTTTTCATTGCAAGCAAATAGATAAAAATGGGAAGGGGTCATTTAACAAATGATCAATATGTACTAATGTAATTAAGTAAGAGCAGCATTAGAGGCACAGTTGTGATTGCAGCCAGAAAAACAGTGTATCTGCACTCAGTGACATGATGAAGTGTTGCAGGGTTGACATGTATTGGACAAAATACAGTGTGGATGGATGACAGCAATGCTTCGCTGTGCACTCTGTTACAGACTGAGCTTGTCAAATTGCTTGAAAATAGTCACGTTAACTCCTACACTGTGTGAAATTTGCATTGATTTATTGCTTTCTCTGGCAGAAAAAAACGCTAATGGATATGTGATTTTCTAAAATGTCCACTGTATTTTTAACATTTCTCTGCACCAAAAGGTTTATCTGATCCCACTTACCTGCTCCGGCCTCTGCCACTTTCACTGCCTCCTGTTGGGTAAGAGGGACAGTGGAGGGATTAAATTTACTGTGACTCAAACTGTGAAACTGTCTGTGTTGTGCTGCTCAAACCTCTGGTGTATTTTAAAGGGAATATAAAAAGACAACAAATGAACTGCAAATACCAGAGCATCACACAAGCTTTGAGAAAACAGTCACAATCCAGAATATTTGTCCTAATGTCATCTAAGTAAGTTTCTATCCTACACTCTCAACAGCACAGACAAGCACAGACTGTCAGGGTTCCTACAGCTTAAAGCAAGTTAGATTTAAGACTTTCTGAGACTTTTTAATGTCACTCAAAATTAAATTTAAGACCGATTTTACAATAACCAATACTGAAGGAAAAAAAAACATGAACCGACATCAGTTACTCAGGGCTGGGGACAATTTTGCTTATTGTTAACATAAAACATGACTTTTTTTTTCGTGGACACGAAGGTAGAACAGAACTGGGAAATACCTGCCATTTGTTGGCAAGCTGTCATTTTTTTTATTTCACACTCTGCATGTGGGATTCCACTGCCTTGATTCCTGTCATGCCAAGTTTGAATTTTTTTTCTGTAGAATATAGTGAGGTTTGCATGCAGTGCCTTGTATTGGTTTCAGCCCTACTGAGAAATCTTGGTTAAATAGCCAATTTTGGTTGAATCTGCACTTCCCCATGCCATCTAGGGTGAGAATTTGTGTTTCTTAAGATGGCTATGGCATTATCCACCTAACTCTCCCTAGTACTCATTGCCTTCGTTGGTTGGATTGGTTAGGTTTAGGCAAGAGGAGTGGGATTGCTTCGGGTTAGGGTAAGAATGTCATGGTAAACCAAGTAGGGCGGGTCATGCCTTCGCCATGCTTGGAAACATAAATTCATGTCCAGGGTACAGTGACATCTAGCTAGCAGACAGTGGATCCTCTGCTGAGTATCCTGGCCAAAAAACTGTGTTGTTGGCTCACCTATGCTTATCTGCATGATCTGCATAATCTAATGGAGAGGTTGGAGATTGCAACCAACTAAAACTTGTCCCTTCTGCCAAGTATGTAGGAAAACTACTGTGGCTGACATGAAAACACAAATGGCCCTATCTAGAGCCTGTGTTTGGTTTGTCTGTTCTGAACTAATGTAGAAACAACATGGTGAGCTCTGTAGTAGAGGATCTGCCCCGTATGTGGATATAAACTGCTCACTCTAAGGTGTCAAAAACACAAGTCTTGTTTTCAAGAGATTATTAACTATAGAAAACATTTTTATTATATTATATTTAATTTCTGCCAATACATCTCCCTAACGATTTTACACTGGACATTTATTGCGTCCACTGTGGACTCTCAGTTGAATGACAATGATGATTTTAATTGTTAAATGACCATGACATTCTGCCTAGTCGTAATATTGCGAAAATTAGGCCTATCCTGACCCGAAAAGATGCAGAAAAATTGGTCCACGCTTTTGTTACCTCAAAGCTGGATTACTGTAACTCTCTATTATCTGGTAGCTCTAGTAAATCCTTAAAAACTCTCCAGCTAATTCAGAATGCAGCAGCACGTGTACTAACAGGAACTAAGAAACGAGGTCATATTTCTCCTGTTTTAGCTTCTCTGCACTGGCTCCCTGTAAAATCCAGAATTGAATTTAAAATCCTACTGTTAACTTATAAAGTTCTAAATGGTCAAGCTCCGTCATATCTTAGAGAGCTCATAGTGCCTTATTATCCCACCAGAACACTGCGCTCCGAGAACGCAGGGTTACTCGTGGTCCCTAAAGTCTCCAAAAGTAGATCAGGAGCCAGAGCCTTCAGCTATCAGGCTCCTCTCCTGTGGAATCATCTTCCTGTTACCGTCCGGGGGGCAGACACCGTCTCCACATTTAAGACTAGACTTAAGACTTTCCTCTTTGATAAAGCTTATAGTTAGGGCTGGCTCAGGCTTGCCTTGTACCAGCCCCTAGTTAGGCTGACTTAGGCCTAGTCTGCTGGAGGACCCCCTATAATACACCGGGCACCTTCTCTCCTTCTCTCTCTCTCTCTCTCTCTCTCTCTCTCTCTCTCTCTCTCTATTACTGCATCTTGCTAACTCGGCCATTCTGGACGTCACTAACTCGGCTTCTTCTACGGAGCCTTTGTGCTCCACTGTCTCTCAGGTTAACTCGTATCGCAGCTGTGCCTGGATAGTGTGACGTGTGTGGTTGTGCTGTTGCCGTGGTCCTGCCAGATGCCTCCTGCTGCTGCTGTTATCATTAGTCATACTTCTACTGTTATTATACACATATGATTATTGTCACACATGTATACTATCAGATATTAATATATTATTATTAATTATAATATTATTACTTTCATTAATGTTGTTGTAAGCTACTGTCATTACCGTCTGTCCTGCATCTCTCTCTGTCTCTGTCTCTCTCTCTGTCTCATTGTGTCATACAGTTTACTGTTAATTTATTATGCTGATCTGTTCTGTACAACATCTATTGCTCGTCTGTCTGTCCTGGAAGAGGGATCCCTCCTCAGTTGCTCTTCCTGAGGTTTCTACCGTTTTTTCCCCCCCGTTAAAGGGTTTTTTTGGGGGAGTTTTTCCTTATCCACTGTGAGGGTCCAAAGGACAGAGGGATGTCATATGCTGTAAAGCCCTGTGAGGCAAATTGTGATTTGTGATATTGGGCTTTATAAATAAAATTGATTGATTGATTGATTGATTGAGCTGAAAAGCCCTACCTGACCTTTGAAAAGTTGACCCCTTTCCAAAGTTTGGTGTAGCATGCACTTAACTAAATCAGAACCGCATAGATAAACTGTAATCATATATGTGTATAGCTTTAACAGTTAAAAAAACAGCTTTGGCATTGGCCTAAAAATATCATCACATTCCTAGTCTCATCAGAAAGCATTAGGCAAACAAAGTGATAAAAAAAAAAATCAGCTTCAGTTGCCAGATATTAGCTGTCACTCATTCTCAATCTGCCCACTAAACCAAGGCTTTGCTGGCAGGGCCCGTTAAAAATGATGTATTTTCACACAGAAGATAAGGTCATACATTCCATGTCTCCTCTATCACAGGCTGTAACAGCTATTAAAAATGAAATCATCCTCTGTTTATGTCTCCAGTCGATTTGAGCTGAACTCCAAAAGCCAAAATTAAGATGAATATATAACCATAAAAATACTTCACTAAAAGGACCCTGGAGCAGATGGCGGAAGAGGAGGGACAACGCTTTTGTTCTACTAAAAAGACCTTCAGGTAAACATAACTTGTGCTTGGCTTGAGGTGAAACAATAATTCCAGAGTGGATCAAGTGCTAAATTGTTTATGTAACAGGGCTGCTCACATTCATGAAGGTTCTGCTTTTGAACAAGAGGTGCTACATCAAAGGTACATTAAGAGAGGAAATGAATTATTCATGGCAAAGAGCCATAGACAGAAGTTGTGGGAAATTTTCTGCGTAATGGAGGATGATGGAGCGAGCTTATTCCGACACAAATTCCAAACCCCTTTGTGTCCAGAGTGTGAGTGGACGAGTGTGTGTGTGCAAGTTCCTCACTGTTTGGCCACCCTCCATCTGTTTCTTCAGCTTCTCCTCCTCCTCTGTCAACTGCTGATTCTCTGACTGCAACCTGAGACGGACACAAAGTTGTGCAGACAGACACAAAAACAAACACATAAAATTTATACCTTGAATGCACTCTTAGTTTATGTTTTAATTTAATGCTTATGATCCCAATCTAAGTAACACTACAGTAGGCACTTTCTTCTCGGAAGCAGTATGATTAAATTCCCCCAGCGGCCATATACAGTTTGAGGAGCCCTGGTGGTGAGTGGGGCAAAGCTGTGGACCTGTGCAATAATAAGATTGGGATCTTGGAGTGTAGTCTTCAGGGACTTGACAACATTGTCCACTGCAATAAGTCTAGTACTGTCTGGCAAGCGAGTAGGCTGGATCACCCTCTTGCCCTGCAAGTTCAGTACTGGCAGGAATTAAAACTTAACTTTGCCAAAGCATACATAATGTACAACAACAGCAAAAATGACAAGAAAACAAAAATAGAAAAGGGAATGCTGCAGCTATCAATTATACATGAAGTTTGAACTATACAACTACAACAAAAATGTGTCAGTTCTCTCCAGCTCTGTCAGCTCACAAACTGACTCACACACAAATAAACACACACACACAACCTCACACACTGTGGCTGTACTTGTCAATGCGCTTTTCGATCTCCTGGGCCTGGGATCCCCAAAGAGGAGAGCGAGGGCTTTGGGCGTCTGGAGAGGTTGGGGACAAAGGAGCTCCTTCCATCAACCACTGGTCTCTCAGAGACTTCCTCTGAGGTGAGAAAGAGAAGGCGAGGAAGAAAAAGAATGTATTGTGGTGATCTGATTATGTTATTCAAGCAACTGTAATCATAACATGACAAACACTATACTCTTGGATGATGATATTAGACCATTGTGGGCAACTCTGCAAATCAGTGGGCAGAGGTGCCTGTTGGCAATATCAGATTTTTGCATTGCTGTGATGGACTTCTGTGATATGGTGCTTAATTTGCTGGATAATCCAAAAACAGACAGACCTGGCTGGTTATTTAGTCATGAACAGTTTGGTCAGTTGATTTTCCAAAAAACTGACTAAACCACAAAACATACAGTAGATAAATATCAAGATATAAAACTACATGTACAATGATACAGGATTCATTTTTAAAGCCCATACCTTCAGTGGAACAAAGCTCTTTAAATGAAATATCAGTTTAATTATTTCACGTTATTTTATAAGCATTTGTTATATGACAATATGTAGCCAGTGAATTAGATATCAGAAAATATTCATATTAATATCTTAATAATTGCTTTAGTTTTATCACCCATCCAATTGTAGGTGGCCTTTAAGTCTTTACTGGGAGCAGCAATTTGATAAACACTGCAAAATCAATGACAGCTTCACCAGTATTTGAAATTAGAGGCAGATACTGATATGGATATTTGAGTGCTAAAATAATCTAATGGCAATATTCTGGCTGATTTTTCTTTAAAACCTAAACAAAAGTTTTTATTAAGGACCAAAAGAATTGGAACTAAGATAATACTCAGCAGGACAATTTAAGATATGTTGTCAATGTTCTCTGGCCCACAAACTGACATATGTGATGTTGACACCATCCGGTATTAACTTACTTGCAACACATCTCAAGTATTGTTTGTTGTCAATTGTTAATTTCTGGGTATCTGGCTGACATTTAAACAGATACAGACATATCTGTGATTAGCTCATATTGGTCGATAATATCAGTCTGCTGGGTCCTGAATCAAAGGTCAGGCTCTAGTTACAAATCAGGAGAAAAGCAATGCAATAAACAAGAGTTAGACCAAAGGACTGAATTAGGCTAACTACTAGGCTAACGTTAGCTAACAGGATTTAGGAAAGTAACTTATGGGCTAACTGTCAAATTATCTGTAAAGGAACATACCAGAAAAACAAAGTATTAATGTTACTTATCCATTTAACATCCACTAATGTCACAGAACAGTTAATTAACATTAACCAAACTACAATGCTAACTCAGAAACAGACAGCTAGCTTAGCACGTACATTATAGCTAACCTAGCACTTAGCAGCTAAGAGGAGTTTTCTGTTCAGCCAAGTCTTAGCTGAACAGAAAAACTCCTCTAACTCCTAAAATTACATAAACTTGAAACACCTGTCACAGAATAGCTATGATAAATGGAGTACCTACAGATAACGGTCCAACAAGGTATGTTGAGAGTAAATAAAATATGCCCGTCAGCGTTTCACAAAGTGGAAGATGAAGCTAACAATCAGTGTAACTCCAACTGCGGTAAAACTGTGCCAGTACTGGTTGCTCCTAGCAACAGAATGTTCAACTGAAACCAACTGCCACTGGCAGAATGGTGAGAAACAGAGAAAGACTGTGTCCATAATCACTCCTGATTTGCTATCTAGTGCACTATATTTAGCCTCCATCACTTTAAATGTGTGTCTAAAGTGTAAAATATATGCACTATATTGTGTCCTCGAAAATGCCAACAATAAAATGAAAAATAAGGTTCCCATACCCTGACAATACCACTGTGTCCAAAGTTTATACCTCATACCAACTATAGACTATATTGTGTGCTCATCTTTATAGTAAGGCAAGGCAAGTTTATTTATATTGCACACTTCAGCAACAAGGTAATTCAAAGTGCTCTACATAAAACACCAAAAGCATTAAGACAAAGTGGAAAAAAATACATCATAAAAGGACATTTAGTGCAATTAAACCCTTGATTAAAGAGCTAGACAACTGAAAAGAAAAAACAGCTAAAAACATATTAAGACAGGTATAAAATACAAGAATAAAAATTACAGTCAAGTGGCAACCTCCAGCTCTAAAAAATGAAGCCAACACATAAGTGCCTTATCTTATGTTATCGGTTTACAGCCTGGAACAAAAAAAATATTTTGGTCTCTATAGCTGATTTCAACATTCATGACAACTGCACAGGGGGTGATTTTGTTTTATAACTCACATGTTTACATTTTATTAAGGCTTAAAGTTATGCATATTTAAGGACTGGCTGCTTTGGGTCGCAGCCTGTCTGCTCATAGTGCCCCTGGCTTCTCAGCTAGATCCACCCCTCACTCCTCCACTGGCCAGCCTCTTGCCCAAATATGATCACTTCTCCAAAAAGTCAAAATGGCAACAGCTGAAATGCCAAACTCGAGGCTTTAAAACATAAGTCTGCAAACCAACAGGTACCGTCTCGGTAGTTATGTCCATTAATTTTACAGGCTATGGTTACAGTTCAGTGTAAGAAATTAATGACTACTTCCTTTATTAAAAGGCAGCAGCAAAGAGAAAAGCCCTCAGCCTGGACTTAAAAGAAGTGAGAGTTGACGGAGACCTGCAGCAGCAGGCTACTTCTTTTACAGTACAAGTCAACATACATTTCATGTCAATCACACAACTGCCACTGCCAATTAAACTAAAGCAGGAAAGAAAATGTTTTCATTTTTAAACAGGTCCTTCATTTTCTTTGAACACTGTATTGTGGGGAAATTATGTATTGTGTTTTTGTATGAATACTGAGTGTTTTGACTATACTTTAATTTGTCAGTTTTCTTGTGTGAACTCAATACATATTCAAAACAAAATTAGTAGCCTGCGTAGAATTGGGACACAGCTTACATTTTGCTAACAATCCCAAAATGTAATGCATTGCATAGATACAAAAATTACAGTCATGCTACATTACACATCAGTTACAATGCAAACTGACTTAAAAGATGGCTTAAAAGATGTAAATCTCAATGTACTACTAACTATAAAGTAAAACGTGGGCATTAGCAAGAGTCATCATGATATGTGATTTCAGACACAGAGAGAGAAGCAGAGGGAGGAGAAGTAAGATGTGCAGAGCAATGACATGGCCAGAGTGAGAAATTGAGATGGGGAGAGTAATCCAAAATGTGGTTATTTGAGGGTGTAAAGGTAGGAAAAAAGGGGGAGAGAGAGAGAGAGAGAAACACACCGGTGAACACGTCAGTGGTCTTCATCTCAGCTATCCAACAGAGAGGACGTTGGCCCGAATCTACAGCATGTGGGTGCAGTTTTTACTCTCATCTTATTCCTACACTGCTCCAGTAAATAGACATGACCCAGTGAACAAAACATGCCCCGGGCTACTTACCATTCCCTCCTAACAGAACACCAAAACAAGCACTTTCAAGTTTTACAAAAACAGGAGCGCAGTTCTCTGCAGTTTGTAGAGCTCAGTACTCTCTGAACGTCATCTTCTTAACATGTTGGTCTAATACACATCTAAATAACATCCAGTTTCTATTGTTTTTTTTTGTTTGTTTCGTTTTGATCTTTTAACTTTTTTTCCCCAGAGCCTCCACTCCACTCCTCAACACAGACTCCCTAAAAGCTTTCTGTGTGTGTTTGTATATTTGACAATGATTAACATAGCTCACAAAGGCATACACTGCATGAGTTTCCATTGTAAACCTGACAGTCCACCTCAAACTACAAAAGCTACTATAGGTTTCATATTGTTCTAAAACAGTACAACTTAATTTTACCTGAAGATATTAGTGTGAGCTGTATAAATGTCACTTTTTTTACTGATAAATGTGGAAAAACTTCCTTTTCAATAATATCTTATTTAGTTTTACTTTGATGCATTCAGATACAGTATGCAAAAAAATACATGAGCAGTGTAATGATATCAAAAAAACTCTTCACCTTTTTAAAAATCATTCACAGCTCTTTTTTTCCAGGACATTATAAGTCATGTATAATGCAGACTTTGGCAAACTTGTCATGTTTTGTCGCTAAACTAAAGCGAGTAAATCATGTACTATCAGGGAAAAAGTTTAAATGTTATTTGTCCTTCAACAGAAGTTGGACATATTTCATGCTACATCCAGAAACAAACAAACAAATGTGGTGATGTACAACTGCACCATCAGAAAGGGAACCCTGGTGATGAAAGCGACATCAAAATGATGTTGTGATGATAGTGTTTACACCGCCATTTGTCAGGCTTATAAATCCAAGCCTGCCATTTTATACTCCATAAATGTATTTCCTTTGGTATTTGCAGTACCTCTTCACAGACAAATAAATTCCTCTTTATTTTTTAACTTTTAAAACGATTGCACATTGTAGATATTAAACACTTCTTTGAGATAGTTAAACCAGGAAATTGTCAAGGGGAAGATATTTTTCACTTAAACCATTTTAACCATTTGTGTTTCTCTGTATGTCAGGACTAATAACACGGGCTACGGTGTGACTTAGTAAGTATGACAGCTGTGTTGCAACCAGTTGACCTTGGTTCAAGGGCTTGTTTCGGCAGGCATCTGTGCCGCTAAAGTGCCCTTGAGCCAGACAGCAAGCTCTCGCCAGCTCTAGGAACGCTGGTCTGCAGCTGACCCTGATGAGCGGAAATAAACACAGTCTGTCTGCAGGGAAAATTTACTGTACTAAATCTAATCTATGAAACAGCCAGGATGATCATTTCAAACATTAAAAAGTGGCTATGTGCAATATAATCTAGTGCAAAGTACTCACAGCAGCTACAGTTTCTCTTACCGTCTGCAAGCTTCTCACTTACTACTGAGGTGAAAGCAGCTGAAAACCCATACATCCCTCCAGCCTATGGCCCTATGTTTGCAAAATCTGGCAACCGTTAGCCAGTAGCTACCTACTTAACTATAAGCATCACAAAAACATCTCTGTGTTTTCTCATGCAGTCCAGAACAAGCACTGCTCTGTTTCGCTCCCCGTGCCTTTGGCTGACTGGACACGGCCCTCTCTAAACTTTCCTGCAGGTCAAGAGCTGTGTATAAGTTGCTGCTCCCTCCTATCACATCCTTACATCTACCCTGGGGTTAGAGTCAATGTCAAAGCTAATGAATGCACTAAAAGCGATGATGATATCACCTCCTGTGAGAGAAGGTATCAGCATAATCATTTTTTAAATGAATCTCTTAAGTCTCTCGCAACTTAATTATACTGATGCGATTCATGTTTGAAGCACTGTGCACGAACACACATGCACACAAAAATATGGTTGGCGTAGCAAAATATTCTCTTGCATGACCACACCATCACACACATGCACACCCGCTTGCACACTGCACAAATTTCACACAATTTGAGGAATGTGCCCCAGGCCAGCGTAGCACAGTGGAGTAGGAAGTGGGAACGCCAGTCTGGAAATGATGTGAAAACAATAGAGCAGCTCTGTGACTTGCCGAGTGTGTAAACACTCACATAAAAACCGATTTCAGCAAAGGAAGGCTTGCCTCTAACCTTGCAGGAGACCAGGAAGTGTGGAAGGTTGTACAGTTCACATGTGTGAGAGAGTGTGTGTGGAAACAAAATCATTTTGGAGGCTATCCACTTGCTAACAAGCTGGAATGGGTCTGCAGAAGATTTTAGTGGGAGTGAAATTAAGGTTGCATGAGTGTGTGAACGGATGAGGCAGGTTAGATCATCTTGTGTATGTGTGTCAGACCTTGAGCTGCTGTAGTCTGAGCTTCTCATCCTCCAAGTCTCTCCTGGCTCTGTCCTGCTCCTCCTGCAGCCGACGCTTTTCCTGACGCAGGAAAAGAAGGGGGGTGGGAGAAAAATTTGCAAAACAGTGAATGAATGTAGACATATTGATATTTTAGGTAGGGGGGTGAGAGCAAGAGGAGTTCAATTTTATTCACATAAAGAGAAAGATGGAGAAACTCAGATCAGCAGTCAGACATAAAAAAGCTGATGTAAATTAATGAACAGAAACAAAGAAAGGGAAGAGACGGCAGTGAATAAAACATCACTGGGAAGGAGTAAAACGGGGACACCTGGTCAACCATCTGTCACAAGGACACTGTCACCATAGACATCAGGTATACTTTATATCCCATAATGCTCAGAGCAGCTGTCCCCATGGCAACCCAGTGTTGTTTACATGGGACCAGGGACACCCTGGCTCACCACATTGCACACTCAGTAAATTATTTAGAACTTACGGACAGCTCAGAGTGCTTAGTCTCTTTATCCTCTCTTTCTCTCTATACTGTGGATGAACCTGAAGTAGACAAGTACAAGATAACCCCACTTATAAACCAGCCTAACACATTGTAGTATATGGCATATGATTTACCTTTAACTGATTTTGCAAAAGGACTTAACAGGACGTCCTCTAGAAACGATTTAAAGATGAATATGTAGTAAATTACATGCCATTATAATCTACAAAACTTTAATTTTTCAAAGAAATTTTGTCCAGTTTTCACAGACAGCTAGATGTCTTTTCTGTGCTGTATTATCAGCGACTCCAATAATAACCATAAGGACAAAAAGGCAACATAAAAGACACAAGCTTATGCTCAATAAAATTAATTTTATTTTCATAAATCTCCATTAAATGCTCACATTTCCTTTGCATTCTGAGCAACTTGCCAATAGAAGACAGACCAAGGGTCTCATTTATAAAACAGTACGTAGGATCCATACTAAAAGTGTACGTGCAGACAGTAGCTCAAAAAGGCATGCGCCACAAAACATTCTAATTTATAATAACCTGCGTATGCCTGCCAGTGTGCCATTTCCTTTTATAAATCCCAAATCAACTTGGAACTGTCCACACATGGATCAGCCTCACAACCCACTCTCTACAAGCCCACATTTAACCACAAATGATCAATGCAAAGCACCTCATGCATGTTTATCACCTGCTGATCAATGGGTCTTTACGGTGACTCATGGCAATGACTGACTGTCACCCCAGTCTTTATATGTTTACAGCAGTCAGACAGTTGTAATCGGTGGTATCACCTACCCTGGGATCCCATTTGAAGATGGAAGTTTGATAAGTGAACACAACTTATTTATTTAAGTTTTGTTATGGTGGACTTGGTCTGCATTATGATTAGGACTCATAATGAGGATATGGAGTTTAATAATTGCATAATTTTTATAATTAAAAGGTGCTTGTGGAAAAGTCATTAGCACAGGCACAAATAAAACAGCTGAACTGAATGTTTATTATAAAGTGGCTTTATTAGTACTGTGTGATATGAGGCAAAGGCATGTGTGAGACATCATTAAATGTATTATAATTCCTCTCACATTTAATTTCTAGTATCTGGCTTCTATTCACCACTTCGCCATCTCATTTGCTAATTTCTCCTGTCTCCAAAATGTACACAGGGGTCAGTGTTTTCCTTCAGGCGCTTACCTTCTACCTTTAAGTTTCTTTCTATAAAACACAACTTTTGCCTTGGAAGTGGTGTACGCCTCTTTCAGGCCTCGTGTGTGCCCAACGGCCAACCCATTTCTTGGCTGAAATATGACTTCATAGCAAGAAATCATAAAATTTGTTGATTTCACTTATAAGCTAGCAAGTAATACCTTTCCTTTGTTTCCCCCAAACTCCGTGTCAGAACATTTTCAAAGTTGTCTCAGACTTCCACATTCACATCTGTCTGAGGAGACATTTGCTGACTGTGACTGACCCAAACATCTCTTTTCTTGATAGCAGCAGTGCTTTAGAGTGCAACTTCTACATCAGTCACTAGATACTTCTATACCAGGACCGCACAATATGTGGGAAATATGCAACAATGTTGAATATTGCAATGATGATATTACTTGTGATAAATAAACAGAATTTAAAGTGTACTCAGTTCTGCCACTCTGCTGCTTCCAGTGTACTGCTAAAATATAAACAAAACAAAAACAAATTGCTTGTTGAATTTAAAAAATGGAAGGAAATGATCTCCAAATTGAACACTGACCTACACATAAAAGGCACAAATAAAAAACAATGACAACTACATTTTAAAGGTCAGTTTCCTGCTGATATTCTCTTTAAACTAACTCAAAAAATCCCCTGAATGCAATATTGCAGTCTCTTGTACTGTGTTTATTGCACATACACAGATAAATACATGTGTGAGACTGTATGATTGTGTGTCTGCATGAACTCACAGCAATGGCCTCCAGTCGCTGTTTGTACTTCTCCGTCTCATCCATCCTGGCACCTGTGACACAATAGGACAGGGTTAAGGGTTTGAGGTCAGAGGTTAAACAAACACAAGTCAGCTGTATCCATTCATTCCCAGAGATTTATCCTCTGCAATTCTCTTAAAAGGATAGCTCAGATCTTAGGTTGCTTTTGGGGCTTTTTAGCCTTTATTTGATAGGACAGTGGTAGCATGAAGGGGGAGAGAGGGGGGATGACATGCAACAAAGAGCTGCAGGTTGGAATCGAAACCTGCTTGCCACTGTGGCAAGGACGTAGCCTTTGTACATGGGGTGCCTGCTCTACCAGGTGAGCTACTCAGCACCGCAGCCTGGATCTTTTGAAGTGGATTTGTATGAGGTACTTATCCATATTCTGTGTATTTTATACAGTTGATGGCAATTGACATGCCCCCAGTTTGGAGAAACAGGTTTGAGTCCAACATGGAAGCTAAAGAATGCACTGCTGTGAATGGGTCAGTAACAAATATATATATTTAGAAATATTTCCACTGCATCAAATTATTGTCAGACAGCCATCTCCGGCACAGAACTGAAGCTGTTGCCTGTATTCAAAGCCACTCCACTGGGAAAAAACATTGATTTTACATAACTAGACACAGGAACTACTGGTCTACCACTGCCTCGCTGGACTACCACTGCCTCAACCAGTTATTTTGTTTGTGTGACTGTGTGACTTTGGCGTTCAAAAGGATTAGGTCAGATTCATCAAAGTTACACAATAACACAAACTAACTAACTGTCTGGTCAGTCTGGTGGCTTTGACGAGATCATAGATGGGGGACTGATGCTGTTAACGGCTTCCCTGTTGGAACAGGCTGTCTGTCAGAGAGGTTAAGCAGTGAAAACACTCTCAATATAGCGTACACGTAAACTGTTGTAGATATTTTAGGTCTCCGAAGTGGAGGCATGCTGACAGACATCTACTGCAGGTAATGTGCTGATTATGGATGAGGATCCCATACAACCCCACTTCAAACAAATCCTAACTACTTCTTGGGCTGTGTGGCCAGTTTTTTGGGGGTGAGGGTCTCTGCAAATGTAGTTTTCTGTGGTCTAAAGAGCTTGTGAAGTAGATAATCAAACAGCATTTCTGCATTAGTCCCCAAACTCCTTGAGCCCCACCGTGCTACATCAGAGGATACAGAGGCAGCTGATATGTGGCAACACAAGATCAGAGACAGGACATCAGCCTTTGCTGTTTGTGAAGCATGTAAATGAGCAAGTGAAAAAAAAAACATAATCATAAAATTAATAGTTCCGAAAAAGAAAAAAAAAAATACAAAGAGAATATCAAGTATCCTGGTAGTACGTGTCTTTGTGAGTGATGACCCACAATTCTCCACACCATTCCCACCCTGACCAAAACCATCTCCCTCACACTCCCATTAAGCTTCTCGTTCCTGTCATGACAGCCTCTGGCATCTCGAAGAAAATGAGCATAGGCAATATTTGTTTTCCCCTGCAGCTGACACTAAATGGGACAATATTTGAGCTCCCCAAAACTCAGAGGCACATGAGAGAGCATAGACTAGAGTCATACATAGCAACCAGCTCTCAGCAACTCAGTCATTAGTGAGTTCCTGCCATCACAAGTCATAACTCTGCTTTTAGTCAACTTCTCAAGAGAGAAACAACACTTATTTTTGGCCCACATGGAATTCAGTGCTGGGTGGGTTTCATAAAAAAAGACTCTACATGATAAGAATAATTATAATGAAAACACTGTTATTGGAAAAAGGAGCTTTAAACGCCATGGCAGCAGTAATCTTCCAGTCACTGACAATCCCATGTGGTGTGTAAAGAGATCTGTCCTACACCAAAAAACACATTTAGCCATCACAGCAACTGAGATCTCATATTGAGGAGATCTGAGCAATACGGCACCCTATTTCTGGAACAAATACCACACTGTCACAGCCGTTGTCGCTAATCGCCATTACAGAGCTTTGAAGCACAAAATATGTGCTTACCAATGCACACACACACACACACACACACACACACACAAACACTTTACACATGCAAAACCTCACAAACAAGCTAATGTCTATGGACACCAATGGGATGATAAAACTTAAATGGTGACCTTACCTTACCTACAACGGCACACTGACACGTCTAGTTCTAGAAAAAGAACCTCACATACAAACTGCCAAAATAAGCTTTCACGCATCATCCACATTACTCATTTCTCCTGAAACCCCCCTCCACACATCCAACACTCACATACTCTACAAATGAGGTTTCTCATTTCTCCCCAGAAGGCAACTCAGTAGAGCTGATGCTATTGTAGCTCTTGCAATATGGTATATCTTTCAGGGCTTTAAGGGGTGATAGTTAACATAGTGAGAAACTTCTCCTTACCAACACCTAAAGGATTCCTTCGGCATCCTCAGGGTGTGGGGTGGGTGGTGGGGTCACAGGGGAAAGGGGGCCCCACATAAAACAATATGAGAATGTAGGTGTACTGTGTATGGAGGGGAAACATGAAGATGAAAGACGAAGAGGGAAGGGGAATTTTTTGATGAGGAAACAACCTCTAGCATGCCTTTCATTACACTGGAGCTCTCACAAGACCTAAGGTGGCGAGACAGACAGTAAGGATCAGCAGAAAGACTAAATATATGCAATATATAGAGAGAGATTGAGAGACAAGAGATACCCTTCAAGAGCATCAGAGGTAGAAAGAGACAAAATCTCATTTTGGCAGTGTTTTTGAATGACTGGAGGTGCAGTGACAGCTTACAGTATAAGCCTCCGTAGGGAGTGGAGGCTTGTGTCTCATCAGGGCTTCAGGAGAGCGCCTAGAATAGCAGCCAGAGATAAACAAGCAAACACAAACAGAGGCTTTGATGAGGAGGTATTGAGGAGCTCCCCGTAGACACACACTGACTTCGATAATTAGACATGATACAGGAGGGTAGAGAAGGGGAGGCTGACAAAGTCAAAAAGTTAAGAGGCAGACAAAGTCAAGACGGTTAAAGAGAAGAGCAGCAGGGAAGGAGAAGACAAGGGGGGAATGAGGTGACGGGAAACTGGTTTGGGATTCAGATTCCCTTATGTCCACAAAATGGGACAACCTGTGACAAAAACAAATCAGGTACACGACAGACAGAAAACAAAAGATTGCTCAAGAACTGGAAGAATGGAGACATTTTAGATTAAATTTATTTCCCACGAGACCCTGATCATTATCAAGCAAAATTAGGTCAATCTTCTCACAGCTGAGACAAATTTTTCAATCTCGAATAATTCAATTTCAGTTGAGGTCATGATCATTATTTCTTTTTTAGGTTTTTATATCATTCTGTAGCTTCCCAGTAGTGTTCATTATATATTCAAATCCAAACTTTTTTTAGTTGTTGTTTTAGCGTCAACATGCTATTTTCCCAAGCCGTTCTAAAAATGTTTTCCCACCTGACCTGAAGAAGGTGTCTGCATGATGACATTGCTACATATAAACCTCATAGCCCATTTAATGTGCCTCTTTGTGACTGAGTCAAGCTTTCTTTGACAAATGTGACAAATGTGTAATGACCTATTATACTCTAACTGGCACGGGAGCCTAGCAATGTACTGCTGTGGATGTTAGTTCAGATCTGAAAGTCACACAATTACTCTAAACGATCAATCAAGGCAGTGGTAGACCACTAACTCCCCTGATCCACAGGGAAAAAATACTGTTTTTGTCAAAGGAGTCTGATGGCTTAAAAGGGAGTGACAAACAGCTCCAGATACCACTTGGAAAACATTTTTAATATAATTTTAATATAAATACAGTGCCAGAGTTCATAAAAAGTTTCAATGTAAGTGTCACCAATTCAGTATCTGAGCAATGGTGTTGAATAATGGAACTTTCATGAAATAAAAGTCTGTGTCACTGCGGTGTCAGGAGTGTGTGCAGATAAACAATGTTGAGGCACAGCCCATGCCGGCAGGGCTGGGAACTCCACAACTGTGCTGTGAGCAAAAATCAACTAGATGACCTGGAAAGTGTCATTTTGTGTCATTGGTGACACTTTTGCATCATCAGGTGCATTTTGGCTGGCAGACACTAGGTGGAGAGCTCCAGGAGCAGGCTGCATGGGCTTTACCTTAACACTGTTCATCTGCACACACTCCCCACACCACAGTGACACAGAGCTGGCTCAAAAACCAGCAAAGCATGCCTTTAGAATCATTCAGGATTTGCTATAATTCAAAGCTGTTCTTTATTGGGCAGTGTCCACATTATAAAAACCAATCAGAGGTGTTATTAATGTGAAATCTTTACTTTGACCATGAATCTTTGCACCTTAACTGTGAATTTTCACACATCTCCCACAGCCCTCTTGTGGTATTCAGAAAGCACAGCAACCTACAAATGTGATGTGGAACTTATTCACTGCACCCTTGCCTCTGTCAAAGCACACTACATTCAATACATCTCAAAACCAATTAGCAGCAGTAAAAACACCAATATGGCACTTAGCCATGAGCACAGCTCAGCTGTTACTGTGTTTAATTACAGACACCTGTGACACCAGTTACATGCCAACCAAGATGACTAAAAAGAGCCTCTCTTCCATTAAAACTGACAGGTTTTTGGTTTTCAAGGCAATAATTTGTGTCCTACACAAACACTTGCCAGTTCAGCAAGTTGTAGGCTGTGTGACCTCAGTGGTATGACCTCCCACCCACAGAGTCTCTCCCAGTTTGCATCTCCCAGTCTCTCACTCCCCCTTTCCATACCCTACTTACACAATGGACTGAAGGTGCTATAGCCAGAGAAAAAAGATTAGAGTAGAGGCAGGGGGAAAGGTAGTCCAGAGGAAAGAGAAAAGTACATTTTATGCGTGCTGCAATGGTGTGTTAATCTATTGTTTAGTCAATAATCCTTTTTTGCGGCTGACATTTTTCACTAATCATATCAAGTGTTACTAAAACCATCAATAAGGTCTTATTCTATCAATGAGAAGAGCTGCAACGATAGGTCGATATACAAAATAATTTATTGGCATCCATTTTGATCACTGAATTATTGTTTTTCCATTTCTTTAAGTACCAAAGTCAAACATTTGCTGGTTTCCTGCTTCTTAAATGTGAGAATGTGATGCTTTCTTTGTCATGCATGATAATAAACTGAATAGTTTGGGATTTTTTGACTGCGGGTAACATTTGAAGGTGTTACCTTGGGCTCAGGGAACCTAAACAGGACATTTTTTAGTATTTTTTGACATAAGATTAACAATATGATTAATTGATTGATCAAGGATATAATGGGCAGATTAACAGATAATGAAAACAATCGCTTGTTGCATTTCTACTCAAGAATCCCGGCAGTCATTGCAGTAGATCCAGAGGTATTATCTCTTTTATGCCTTGCATTCTTCTTCCTTGTTAAAATATGGCACCTACATTATCCACAACGTAACTCTAACTGCCGACAGTTTATTTAGAAATTCAGGCAGTAGCAGCTAATGTAGTCACGAGGCGCTAGTCTCAAACGGGAATGAGGAGAGTTCTGATAAACTCAGTTCTTTCTAAATTAACACACAGATTATTTTCATTTTCAGACTTGTAGTCTTCAGCCCCAACTGACTCCGACTCAAGAGACATCACTTAAGAATATTTATCAGATTTATCAGTAGTGCACTCCAAAAACCCGCAATCAGACACTGATGCATTAAACTGGTGGAATGTCCCTTTAAGAAGTTGGAACTAGGGAATCATTGACATTTTTGCATACAAAAATAAAAAAAAAACAGTTGCCAATAATTTTCTGTCATTGATCACTTGATTAATCAAGCGTTGTTTTAGATCTATATTGGTTAATGAAAAAAAGACATATTTATGACCTGAAAACAATGAGATGCCACAGCCCTATTTTAAATGACGAGAGCTTAACAGTGTGCATATAGAAAGGTTAAAGAACCTTCTACTAAGTGCAGCTGCCTCTCAGTCATTCAGTCTTCCTGCAAACTGTCAGCACGATACATTCCTCCTGCCCTGGTGCAAAAGAATGTATATTTGCCTATGTGTGTGCATGTTTAAATAACAATGTATATTTACCTAGTGGGGTGCCATGAAGCCTGTATGCTGAGTGCTGGTGTAGTGACATTAGCTCTGTGGGAACAGATGGGAGAACAGTAGGGTGTCTGGAATGAAAAACTATAAGAATCATTTAGTATCACAGCTCACTGCTCTTGGATTTCTCTGACACACACTCACAGGCAGTGCACAACTGGCTGTATGTAAGCAATACCACTCCAACAAGGCAAGAGGCAGAGTTTTTTTTTTTTTTTTTAATCAAAAGATCAACAGACGTCCACAAACTATTTTCAGCTAAATCCAAATCACAGTGCATGTAAAGAAAACCCTTCATAATTTTCAAACTAAACAGCACAAAAGCCAAGGTATTAGCATTCCATTTTCTAAGGGCTTACAAGAAAGGTGAAAAGACTGTGGGAGAGGCAATCAGTACAATCAGAGTGAGCTGACAGGTAGCACTTACAACCAATGCCTCCTGTTGCTCTGCATTAACTGACATGCAGAATATAAGATGAGCAGTGGCACAGAGGAGCTATGCCAGATGAAATGTAGATAAGTTGTCTATGAAAAGCACATGTTCACGGAATTTAAATCCCATGTGATGATATGTGATACCATGGAATCAGGAACTAGCTTATTCAAATACAATACTCCACTCAAACCAGAGTTTTTCCTCGCTGAGGTAGAGATGGTAGCATCGTGATCATGTGCGCACATGCCTGTGTACCATGCCTTCAATTCATTTTGATTATTTTACTTTCTATTTTAAATGATTTGCTTTTATCAGTATAAGATAAGATATACTTTATTGATCCCCCAGGGGTGAAATTCAAGTATCACAGCAGCAAAAAAAAAAAAAAAATTAAAGATAATAATAGATAAATAAAAGATAAAATAAAATTGCTACATCAATGAAATATGTGTGGTAGTCATGGTCCCATGTGCTGTAATGAACTAATATCATGTTTTACAGATGAGTGCTTAAAAAAGATAATAAAAACTAGAAATACCGCCTCATGGTTGTATGCCTCCACGAACCAGTCAAGTTGCAGTTAGTTTATATCCATGCATGTTCACACCCATATGTAGCCATGACAGCTGGCAATGTTTCAAATATGGATGTTGCTGCGGAGAAGCTACACATTCTAAAACATTGATGTCTCACAAACATCTTCAACCTGGCAGCACAGGAGATCAACACAAACAGTAGTTTCAAGGGCACCCATGAATAGTGCCACCAATTCAATATGATATGATATCACAGTGAAACTGACCTTTGACCTAGATAAAAAATGTCATCACTTCACACATCATTTATTCTATTCAACATCTGTGAGAAATTTTGTCATAATAAACGGGTGGATTCTTCAGTTGAGGCCAAAAACATGTTCTGTGAGGTCACAGTGACCTTTGACCACCAAAATCTAATCAGTTCATCCTTGTGTCGAAGTGGACATTTGTGCCAAATTTAAGGAAATTCCCTCAAGGCCTTCTTGAGATATCACATTCATAAGAATGGGATGGAAGGACGGATGAACAGATGGACAACCTGAAAACATAATGCCTCTGGCCATGGCTATCACTGGTGCAGACATAAAAATTATTTAATCTCCTCTCCTTACATTTCGTCTCAGTACAAGATGGTGTTAAGACACACAAAGAGGTGCACTGAGTAGCACTCACAAACGCTGAGTCCACTGTCATTTCCAAAAGCATTTGTAAGCACCAACTGCCGATGTAAAACTACCATCACATGGAAGGGAAAAGGAGTTTTGTTTTCTTGTAGTTGTGGCAACGACGTTACCGGCGGAAATACTCAGGCACACCTGGCTTAAAACAGACGACTCTTTTCTTCGGCTCTCTTCTTTTTTTGGCAGTGCCTTTCCCAGTGCACTATGCTGATTACAATGGCACCACCACATCAGCGTAATGCTGCAATTGCAGTTACAATATACAGAAATACACAAAGTGCAAGGCTTGTATGAAAACAGTGTTTTCCATTGTGACACCTGTCAGAGTTTTGTTGAGAGGTGGAGCGCTAACATGAGTATGGGTGCACATGTTAGAGAGGTTTAGAGTACAGGGCCATTGACTCTGACATCACAAGGATTGTCACAGGCTGCAGTGGAGCATGAAAGCTGTAAACTTAAGGTCATGAGACCGTGGCACAGCACAGATCACTTTTCTGTCCAAGCATCGCTAGATAAATCGCAAGATAAATCTGCAGATTATTTCCCCTGATTAATAAATTGATTGTTGATTGAACAGTGAAAACAGCTGTTATAATTTCCATCACCCCAAGGTGATGTATTCAAATTACTTGTTTGGTTCCGTCCAAAACCCAAGATACTGAGTTTCATTTATACTGACACACTTAATGTCAATAAGGTATGTAGAGAGATCAAAGAGCAACAGTCTCCTGAATTGGTTCGTTCTGTAAATACTGGCCACTGAACACACAGCGTACACAGAGTTTCTAAAATAGCTCCAGGTCTATAGGGGTTGGGGGAGGGGGCGGAGGGAGTCATTAAAAGGCCACCCAGTGACATTTTGTTTTTGTGAGATGATGCAATCACGTCGCTGTTAGACTGCTGGCCACCCTGCTTCTCTGCACTTTGAAGTTTCTGCTCCATTTCTTGAAGAGATGAGGGGATGAAGGTGGGGGATGATTATAGTGAAGACAGAGGCGCGAGAGAGAGAGAGAGAGAGAGACAGAGACAGAGACAAAGACAGAGGTAAGGTTGAGTGTTAGATTGTATGCCCTCAATCACAGACAGTGCTGTAAGCGCATTTGAATACTAACATTAATAGTTTTATTAATTTCTAATACCAGTATTAGGGATGCTACGCTGGAATCATCTGCTTTGAAGTGCAGCTCATCTGCTAGAGGCTCATTTAGCGCACAGCTTTTACATGTCCTATTATCCTTCTTCTATTCAACATTACTCTATTTTCAACTCTTTGGGATTAGAGTACAGCACTTGAGTGTGGAGTGTAAACTATAAAACTGAAAAGAGCAGAAGTGGACAAGATAGGAGCAAAAAAGTAGGTCTGAAAAATGAAGTGCCACTGAGACTGAACTGATTGAACGACAGTTTCTGGCCTGCCAGACAGAGAGACTAAGAGAGGGTATTCCAAGGCCACTGTAAATTGAAAATATCCTTTCACCCATGTGTTTGGGAACAGGAAGAGTACAAACATCGCTGTCCTCCAGACGATTAGAGACTGAACATGCAATCGCAATGACCCTGATCTCTGAACTCGCACATCCTCTGCTGTCGCCACCGGCCATCGCTCAGGAAGAGCCTGACTTGAACAGACAGCCAACTAACTGTAAAACAAATTCCTAGATAGAACTTCAATCAGAGACGGGGCAGTCAAAGAGGCAGTAACTCTCCAGCTTGAGGGACGGACAGAGTAGATTGTTGTAAAGTGCTTTTTCATCAGCTATTGATTTTCAGTTGCTTTACAGACTGCAGCAGAAATTGCATTATTGGAGATGGATATCCTGCTTATCTAGATGGAAATAAATCTGACACACAGTATGTGTGTGTGTGTGTGTGTGTGTGTGTGTGTGTGTGTGTGTGTGTACTGTACATGGTGTGTGCATGTTTGTGTGTGTGTGTGGGTGGGTGGCATGGGTGGAATTTGTGGAGCTTGGATGGTTCTGCTGCAACAGCACACAGCCAAGCTCCACTGATTGACAGTCCAGGTCAGGGGAATGAAAACACTGTGTTCCACTGCTGTGTGTTTGTGTGCACTTGTGTGTGCGTGTTTGTGTGTGTGCTCATCAGTTAAGGATGAAAGGTTAATGTGTGGCATGTGTGTGCCTGCTACGTCACAGAGCTAACAGTGTAGTAGACTTTGGAGCATGTTGGGGATTATCAAAGTCAACAACATACAACACAGATTTACTCCATGTCATTTATCACCGCTGCACTTCACAGGCATGACGGTCCTGCTTTGGTCTGAAGTAACACAGACGTTCAAATAATGCGCGCTTCAATGCGTATACTTCAAAGCATCAAAACACGTCATTCGCCTACGATCCCATACATCAGGGTAGTAACTGTGCGGATACAGTATGTACAGTAAGCTTGCACAAATGATCGCAACGGGACACGTGCTTCTAAGCATCAAAGGCATCCCTGCAAGGGAATATCAAAAGAAATCTTCTAACAGGTCACGGCGTTCAGCAGTTAGACTAAAGCAAGTTTAAAGGGCTGACAATTTGTCTAAATCGTGATGAGAGAGGAGATGAAACAATAGCATCTCAAAGGAGTTAATTCCTTTGCTCTCTTTTTGTCTCCATGTTATACAGCCATAAAAAGGATTGAGTGGGGGATCAGTGGTGTACTGTCAGGTACCACACACACACAGACACACAGACACACACAGACACAGACACAGACACACACACACACACACACACACACACACACACACACACACACCACAATAGAGTCTCTGTTCAGCAGGACGGAGGCTGGTCTTAGCCTGGCTCTGCCTACAGTATCCTAGTGTGTAAAAGAACACTTACATACACAACACACACCCACAGCACTCCATCTGATCTCTGTTTGGGCTGATCCAGACAGTAATGTGACATGCATGTTTCTAAGTTTAACTTTCAACTTGGGCTCTTTTGTTGCTCTCACACCTGCAATTTGGTCAATTTTTTCCCTTATAGTTCTGGTCCATTGTATTTTGTGCTGTTGTGCTTCTGTGGTTGTGTAGCCTTTCCCCTCTCCAAGTTCCATACTGGAGAGCAGGTCATGTGGCTCAGGCTGTAGCTGTTTGGTAACAACATCCTCTCAGATTCATCTTCTCCTGTGATCTTCTTTGTTTGGGCTGCTCGATTATTGCAAAAATTATAATCACAATCATTTTGGTCAATTACTAGATCACAACTGATTAACAAGATTACACATTGACTTTGGAAACATCATGCATTTATTGAACTTTTTAACAGTGGCTTTCCTTAAACTCTAAATATCATTCAACTGTAGGTGGCTCATTGGCCTAATTCTGTCTATATCAGTTAAGACACTCGAATACAAGGATATTGTCAATAAGAAAAAAAATACATACCACAAATGTCAGTAATGTAACGTAACATATTGACATAACATAATATAATGTAAACTCCATCATAACACTCTGACCTGCAGCTTGTGCTCACATATATTGGGTGAGCATGACAGACTGACTGTAGGACTGACAATAAACAGTCACTAGAATTAGTTATTACTTTGGCATGGTCTGAATCTGCGTTACAATGAGTATCATTGCAGCGCAGCGTCTTTAGGCTTTAGGCCTTCAGGTCTTCAGGCTTCTGAAACTTTATTATATTGGTCATTCTGTACATGCAACATCTATCGCATGTCTGTCCATCCAGGGAGAGGGATCTCTCCTCTCTTACTGGGATTTCTTCCATTTTTTCTAATGATCTGACTTGAAGATTTGAGGCAAATTTGTGGTTTGTCATATTGGGCAATACAAATAATAATTGACCTGGCTTGACTGACGGAGTG